GCGTAATGTTGGCATTCAGTGGTGGTGGCACCTATCTGGGGACAACGCCAGGGTAAGGGTGGTCCCTGATGGATGCCAAGCCAGAGCTGGGGGGACCTGATGAGGACCAGAGGGACCCTGGCATGGGGACGGGGCCACACTCACTCCTGGCAGCGGCTGTCGTGGCTGAAAATGCACTTCTGGAGGGTGTCGAGGGTGAGGAGGCTGAGGTCCTCCAGCATGTTTCGTCCCACCGGTCCCCCCGCTGCCTTCGCTGCAGCCCTCCACTTGGTCTGTAGGGCAGGGGATGTCAGTGGATGGGGTGTAAGGGTGGGTGGGGGTCAAGGATTGGGGTCAGGGTGGGGAATCGGGGTCTGAGCGAGGATCTGGGTGAGGGTCTGGGCATGGATGTGGGGGAGGAACCAAGGTCTGGGTGAGGATCCAGGTGAGGAACTGGGATGTGGATGAGGGTCTGAGTGAGGAACCAGAATCCAGGTGAGGAATGAGGATCTGAAACTAGAAAAAAGACTAGAAGCATCTTGAAACTAAATGATCGTTGTGGTCCTTTTCAACCCAGGCCATTCTATGATTCTATGGTCTGGGTGCAGGATGGAGTCAGGAATGAGGGTGTGGGTGAGGAACTGGGGAATGAGCGTGGATTTGGGTCAGGAATCTGAGTCTGGGCGAGGAGCTGGGGTTTGTATGGAGGTCTAGGTCAGGAAACAGGGCCTGGGTCAGGAATTTGGGTGAAGAACCAGGGTCTGGATGGGGATTTGGGGAAGGAATCCGGATCTGGATGCAGGATGATGAACAAGGGCTGGGTTGGTTTTGGGTTCTGGGTCAGGATTTGGGTAAGGAACCAGGGCCTGGGTGCAGGTCTGTGTCAGGGATGGGAGTCCAGGTGCAGGATGGGATCAGGAGTCAGCATCTGGGCCAGGATCTGGGCGAAGAACAAGGATCTGTGTGGGGATTTGGGTCAGGAACCAACATCTGGTTGAAGATCTGGGTGAAGAACCAGAATCTGGGTGAAGAACCAGAATCTGGGTGAAGAATCAGGATCTGAGTGAAGAATGGGGTCAGGAGCTGCGATCTGGGTGAAGATCCAGGTGAGGAACTGGGATCTGGGTGCAGGATGGGGTCAGGAGCTGGGATCTGGGTGAAGATCTAGGTGAGGAACTGGGATATGAGTGCAGGATGGGGTCAGGAGCTGGGATCTGGGTGAAGATCCAGGTGAGGAACTGGGATCTGGGTGCAGGATGGGGTCAGGAGCTGGGATCTGGGTGAAGATCCAGGTGAGGAACTGGGATCTGGGTGCAGGATGGGGTCAGGAGCTGGGATCTGGGTGAAGATCCAGGTGAGGAACTGGGATCTGAGTGCAGGATGGGGTCAGGAGCCGGGATCTGGGTGAAGATCCAGGTGAGGAACTGGGATCTGAGTGCAGGATGGGGTCAGGAGCTGGGATCTGGGTGAAGATCCAGGTGAGGAACTGGGATATGAGTGCAGGATGGGGTCAGGAACCAATGACTGGGTGAGGATTTGGGTCAGGGACCAGAATGTGGGTGAGGAACTGGGATGTGGGCGCAGGATGGGGTCAGGAACTGGGGGATCTGGGCGAGGATCTGGGTGAGGAACCAGGATCTGTGTGCAGATCAGGAATCAGGGTCTGGCTCACGTGCATGATGTGGGTGCTGCTGTTGAAGATGCTGATGTAGGACTTGAGGATGTCGAAGTGGAAGGCGGGTGTCAGCAGGCGCCGGTGCCGGGCCCATTTGTCCCCACGACTCAGCAGCAGCCCATCCCCTGTGCGGGACACTCAGCTCCATTCATGGGGGCACCCATGGGTGCTGCCTCCCCATCCCCGGGCACCCACTCACCCAGCCAGGGCTTGAGGAACCCGTAGAAGAGTTTGTCCTTGGGGGCAATGAAAGCTGCGGGACAGAGCACGGCGGGACACGGTCATATTTTTGGGATCTGGGGACCCTCGGGGACAGCTTGGTGGCCGCCATAGGATGCGCGTCTGGGCCCAGGCGACACCTCCAGGCGATGGCCATGGGGACCCATAGGTTGGTGTCCCCCACGTCCCCCCATGCCCACATCTTGGGTTACCTGAGGCCATCAGCACGGGGCGGAGGGTGTCGGGGTGGAAGAGGCGGAGGACCGGCAGCCATGGGGACACCCACCAGAGGCAGCCATGACGGTACTGTGCCACCATCTTGTCCACATCCTGCAGTCCTTCCTCCGTGTTCCGTGCCTGCGCCGTTAGGGACACACGTGGGGACACGCCTGGCTGTCCCCAGGGCTGCATCCAACCTTGGGGACGTGTTTGTCCCCAAGGTGATGGATGGGCTTGGGGTCACATTTCCATGCCAGCGCTGTGTCCCCTCTGTCACCCACCCGTGTGCCACTGTCACTTATCTATATGGCCACCCCCATGTCCCTGCTGTCACCCCCAGGGTGTCACTGCCCTGTCCCCACTGTCACTCCAGGTAACAACAGCCCAAGTGCCACTGTGCTGTCGTTGCCATCATCCCAAGTGCCACCACTCTGTCACCACTGTCCCCCCTCAGGTGTCACTGTCCTGTTCCTATCACCACCCCAAGTGCCACCACCCTGTCCCTGCTGTCATCCCAAATGCCACCACTTTGTCCCCCTTAAGTGTCACCACTTTGTCCCCCTTAAGTGCCACCACTTTGTCCCTGCTGTCACTCCCTAAGTGCCACCATCTTGTCCCCCCAACCCTGCTAAGTGCCACCACACCACACTACTGCTGCTGTCTCCCCTTAAGTGTCACTGCCCTGTCCCTGCTGTCACCCTCCAAGTGCCACCACCCTGTCCCTGCTGTGACCACTCCAAGTGTCACCTCTCTGTCCTCTTTATCACCCCCTAAGTGCCACTGCCCTGTCCCTGTTGTCACCCTAAGTGCCACCATCCTGTCCCCTCTGTCCCTGCTACATGCCACCACCCTATTGCTGCAATGCCCCCTCGAGGGCCACCACTCTGTCCTCTCTGTCACCCCATAAGTGTCACTGTCCTGTCCTTGCTGTCATCCCAGTTGCCACCACCTTGTCCCTCTGTCTCCCTTAGTGCCACCACCCTGTCCCTGCTGTCACCCCAAGTGCCATCACCTTGTCCCCCTGTTGCCCCATAAGTGCCAACATTCTGTCCCTGCTGTCGCTCCAAATGCCACCACCTTGTCCCCTCTGTTGCCTCATAAATGCCACCACCCCGTCCCTGCTGTCACTCCAAGTGCCACCACCCTGTCCCTGTCCCCGTTGTGACCTCCCCAAGTGCCACCACTCTGTCCCCTCTGTCCCCCCTAAGAGCCACCGCTCTCTCCCTACCATCACCCCAAATGCCACAACTTGGTCCCCTCTGTCACCCCATAAATGCCACCACCCCGTCCCAGCTGTCACCCCCATGCCACCCCCCACCCGCGCCCCCTCACCATCCCGGTGTGTCCCAGCAGCCAGCTGCGCCATGGTGGCAGAGGGAAGTGACGCAGCTGCTGGCAGGTGGCCCGGAAACGGGTGACAGCAGCCGCTGCATCCCTCAGCCAGACCACCAGCAGGGTCACCAGCAGGGCCACCAGCAGCCAGGACGGCACCATCATCACTGCTGGTGAGTGACACCAAACCAGGGGCGAAGGTCGGGGTGACGGTGTGACGTTGTTGTCATGTGGTGTCACCACGTGCCTCCCGGTGCCATTGTGCCACCGTGTGCGTCCCGGCGGCGTTGTCCCCTCCACGCGTGTCCCGGTGCCATCCTCACACCATCCATGTGTCCTGGAGGCTCCGTCCCTCCCTCCCTCCCCTTAATCCCTGTGCCTTCTGCATCCACCCCACCCCCACGCTGGGATCCAGTTCGACCAGTCGTGCAGGAGCTGGGTGTGACAGCGCTGTGTGCACCAATGCAGCAGGAACACGCGTGCACACGCGTGCATGTAGGCACCTGCGCGTGTGCATGTGTGCAAACGCGCGCCCCATGCCTGCACACGAGCTCACACACGCAAACCTCCCTTTCACAGACACCCATGCGCAGGCACGCACAGTGCACATACGTTGCACACATACGTGTGCACCCAGTGCACACACACATGGCACGCACATGTGCACACTTTGCCCCCCCCCCCCCCCGTGAGCACGCAGGGCACAGCGCCCACGTGACACCGCGGGGTGGGACAAAGTCCATAGGGCACCATGCTCTGCTCTGCTGCTGCTGCTGTTCTCCTGCTGCTGGCGGTGCTCAGCGCCCGCACCCAAGCAGGTAAGGGACACGGGGACACCGCGCTGCCTTGTGGCACCTCGACATGCCGCTGCCTGGCACCACGTGGCACCACACGGCACCACACGGCACCAACACTCAGCACCACATGGCACCACACGGCACCTCACAGAACCACGTGGCACCACATGGCAACACACACTAACACATGGCATCACATGGCACCACATGGCACCACATGGCACTGCATGGCACCACATGGCACCACATGGCACCACATGGCACCACATGGCACTGCATGGCACCATATGGCACCACATGGCAACACACGGCACCTCATAGAACCACGTGGCACCACATGGCACCACATGGCATCACATGGCACCACATGGCACAATTTGCTAACACCTGGAACTACATGGCATTGCATGGCACCACACGGCACCACACGGCATGACACACTAGCACATGGCACCACATGGCACCACATGGCACCACATGGCACCACATGGCACCATATGGCACCACATGGCAACACACGGCACCTCACAGAACCACATGGCACCACATGGCACCACATGGCACCGCATGGCACCACATGGCACTGCATGGCACCACACGGCACTGCATGTCACCATATGGCACCACATGGCAACACACGGCACTGCATGGCACCATATGGCACCACATGGCAACACACGGCACTGCATGGCACCATATGGCACCACATGGCACCACATGGCACCGCATGGCACCACATGGCACCACATGGCACCACATGGCACCACATGGCACCGCATGGCACTGCATGGCACCACATGGCACCACATGGCAACACATGGCAACACACGGCACTGCATGGCACCATATGGCACCACATGGCAACACACTAACACATGGCACCACATGGCATCACATGGCACCACATGGCACTGCATGGCACCACACGGCACAATTTGCTAACACCTGGAACCACACGGCATTGCATGGCACCACATGGCACCACACGGCACCACACACTAACAAACACATGGCATCACATGGCACCACGTGGCATCACATGGCATTGCATGGCACAACATGCTAACACATGGCACCACATGGCACCACATGGCACAGCATGCTAACACATGGCATCACACAGCATTGCATGGCACCACATGGCACCACACGGCACCACATGGCACCACATGGCACCACATGGCACAGCATGCTAACACATGGCGCCACACGGCACCCCACCCCACCCCACCCCCTTTTGAGGGGCCATTCCTCCCTTTTTTGGAGTCAATTCCTCCTTTTGGGGGTCCATACCCCTCTAATTTGGTTTCACATCCCCCCCCAATTTGGGAAACGTTTGCTCTTTTGGGGTGAATTCCCCCTTCTTTGGGTCGCCCCTCTCCAACTTTGGGCACATTCCTCCTTTTTTGGAGCTCATTCCCCTTTCCTCAGGTTCCTCCCCATGCAGTTTTGGGGGCATTTTCCTCATTTTGGGGTGCATTCCCCCCTCCCTTCCTATTTTTTTGGGGTACATTTCCCCATTTCTTTGGCTGCGCTCCCCTTTTCCTGCATTCCCCACTTATGGGCGCATTCCCAACCTCGGGGTGCACCCTCCCTTCCCCCCTTCCTCCCCATTTTGGGTGCATTCTCCCCTGTTTTGGCCGCTCATTCCCATCCCTGCGTGCATCCCTCCCCCCTTTTCAGCTCCATCCCCCCTTCCCTCGGGCGCATCCCTCCAATTTAGGATCCAATTTCCCCTTTTATTTTTTTGGGGAGGGGACGAGCATTTTCCCCATTTCTTTGTGTTCATCCCCCGGTTTTCATCTTCCTGCCCCATTCCAGTCTCACCTCCAGCCCTCCTCCCACGCCACATCTCCTCGTTGATCCCAATCCTACAATCCCTGGAGGTCGATGACACCCAGGACATCCCATCCCTGGTGCGGGCGCTGGGGGGCTGCGGGACCCCCGTGTGCCACACACTGCTTGGAGACCCCCCTCCCACCCCAAAGCCCATCCCCGAGCTCTGGACGCTGCTCGCCCACCTCCTCCACCCCACCACCACCGCAGAGCACGGCCTGGCGTTGGCACCCGACGGTTCCACCGTTGCGTTGGCACCGCTCTTCGCCGGCATCGAAGTGGGGCTGAAGAGGGCAGCGGGGGGGCCCGGCCCCATTGATCAACCCGACTGGGCTGCTCTGGATGCTCTCTACGCCGTCACCATCGCCGAAGCTCTTGGGACATCCTTCCTCATGGCCCGGCTCAACGGGACGGCCGCCCTGGGACCCGATGGCTGTTGGGATGATGTGGACAACCCACAAAACTTCACCCCGTCGGGTCCCCCGTCGCTCGTCCCCGACGCTGTCGCCAACGGGGCGATGGATGGGGTGCTGTTGGGCACACGCTTGGCTGAAGAACCCATCCCACTCTCCGTCCTATTCCGGAGATATTATGGTGTGGAGAATGGGATCATAAGAGGGTGGCCTCACAGCAGCCGCCGGCGTCAGGATTTCGGGGCGCTGACGGCAGTGGGGAAGTTGGAGGAGGAAGTGGTGGCGATGCTGAGGGTACTGAGGGGGCTGTCACCCACCCGTGAGCTCCTGGAGGAATTTGGGGAGGAGGAGGAGGCGGGCATCGCTCATCGGGCAGCACGGGAGTTCATGGAAGTCTATGTTGGTGAGTAGGGGCCCAAAGTGAAGGATGGGGTGGGAGGTGGGTGGTGGGATGGGGGCAGGGATGGGTGCTGGGAACGGTGTTGGGATGGGTGATGGGATAAGAGGAGGGAACGGTGTTGAGATAGGTGTTGAGATGGGGGCTGGGATGGGTGCTGGGTGCTGGGATGGGTGGTGGGAACAGAGATCAGGTGAATGTTAGGACTGATGGTGGGATGGGGACAGGGATGGGTGCTGGTGTGGGTGGTGGATGATGGGTGGTGGGAATGGTGGTGGGTGCTGGGGTGGATGTTGGGATGGGTGATGTTTGCTGAGATGGGTGCTAGGAATGGCTGGTGGGTGCTGGAATGGCTGGTGGGAATAGGAAGGGTGCTGAGTGAAGCCGGGGACATCCCAGGGGAGGTGTCACTGTGCTCATGGTGACACACGGAATGGTGTGGCCAAATACCAGTGTGTTCCCTGGATGGACACCACTGAGTCCCCAGGTGGTAGATTTTGGGTAGACACCTCTTTATCCCCTGGATGGACGCCGGTTTGCCTCTAGCTGGTGGTCCCTGGATGGACGTTGCCACGTCCCCTAGGTGGATATCAGTGCATCCCCAGTTGGTGGCCCAAGGATAGGCACCATCACGTCCCCTGCACGGATACTGCTTTGTCTGTAGTCGGTGGCTCATGGATAGGCAACACCACATCCCCTCGCTGGTCACCGGTGTGTCCCCACATGTCAGGTTTTTAGATGGACACACCAGTGTCCTCCAGAGGGGTGTCCCTGGATGCTGGACAAAGCCATGGCAGCCAAGGGCAGATTCTCCCTGTCCCCTGGACAAGGTGACCCCAGGTGGACTCAGCAATATCCCCAAACCAAGGAACTCCCCAAACTCCACATTCCCAAAACCAAATACACCCCCACAATCAACCCCTGCCTTCCCTCGCAGAGTGCCCAGCCATCATCCCCCGCTGCATGTGGGGCGCCCGTCCCTATCGGGGCACCCCCAGCCCCTTGTCCCCACCTTTGGGTTCCATCTACATCCACCACACCTTCGTGCCCAGCGCCCCATGCCGCTCCTTCGCCGCTTGCGCCCGCGACATGCGCTCCATGCAGCTCTTCCACCAGGACACCCGTGGCTGGGATGACATCGGCTACAGGTGAGACTGGTGTCACAGTGAACCCACCACGGTCCCTGTGACTGGAGGGGGATGTAGGGTTGACCAAGGTAGGGTTGATCAACACAGAATTGACCAACATTGGGTTGACCAGCATTGGGTTGACCAATATCGGGTGGACCAACGTTGGGCTGACCAACATCGGGTTGACCAACATTGGGTTGACCAGCATTGGGTTGACCAGCACTGGGTTGGCCAACATTGGGTTGACCAATATTGAATTGACCAACATGGGGTTGACCAACATTGGGTTGACCAATATTGGGTTGACCAGCATTGAGTTGACCAATATTGGGTTGACCAACATTGGGTTGACCAGCATTGGGTTGACCAGCATTGGGTTGGCCAACATTGTGTTGACCAGCACTGGGTTGGCCAACATTGGGTTGACCAATATTGAATTGACCAACATGGGGTTGACCAACATTGGGTTGACCAATATTGGGTTGACCAACATTGGGTTGACCAACACTGGGTTGACCAATATTGAGTTGACCAATATTGAGTTGACCAACACTGGGTTGACCAATATTGGGTTGACCAACACTGAGTTGACCAATATTGGGTTGACCAACGTTGGGCTGACCAACATTGGGTTGACCAACACTGGGTTGACCAGCATTGGGTTGACCAACATTGGGTTGACCAACATTGAGTTGACCAATATTGAGTTGACCAATATGGGGTTGACCAGCATTGGGTTGACCAATATTGGGTTGACCAACGTTGAGCTGACCAGCATTGGGTGCCCACAGCTTCGTGGTGGGTTCGGATGGATACCTGTACCAAGGCCGAGGTTGGCACTGGGTGGGTGCCCATACCAGAGGTCACAACACCAAGGGTTACGGAGTGGGCTACGTGGGCAACTTCTCAGCCAGCTTGCCAGATCCCCAGGCCATCGCTTTGGTGCGCGATGGCCTCATACCGTGTGCCGTGAGGGCTGGGTGGCTCCACCAGAACTACACTCTGCATGGCCACAGGCAAATGGTGAACACCAGCTGCCCCGGGGATGCCCTGTTCCAGGAGATCCAAACCTGGCACGGCTTCAAGGTGGGCACTGGGTCCTGTGACGTTGCTGGGGTCGGGGTTCTGGCTCACTCTGGTGTGCCGGAGATGGAGGGTTGGGGGAAGCGTGGGGGATGCTGGGGATGACCATGGTTCCTTGTCTTCTCTTCAGTGAGGATTGGCCCCATGGGTGCTGGTCCGCGTGGGTGCTGCGAAGGTTGGATCCCGGTCTGCATGGATGGTGGTCTGATGGGGGACAGACGGACGCCGTAAGAACTCGATCCCAATGATTCCAATCTGCGTGGAGCCTGGCCCATGAGGATGCCAACCCAATGAAGTCAGACCACGTGGACCCCAGGCTGCGTGGACAACAACCCAATGGATATCAGACCAGACGGACCCTGGTCTGTACAGATCCCAACCCAATGAATTCCAGATCAGAAGTTCCCCAGTCCGCATGGAGCCCAACTCAGTGATGTCAGAACAGATGGACTCTGCTCCATATGGACTCCAACCCAACGAATTCCAGACCGGAAGGATCCCAATCCACGTGGACCCCGACCCAAGGATGCCAGACCGGGACACCAGTCTCCAGAACGGGGTGGACCAGTCCTGGCTTGCTCCCAACAGACCATGGCCCATGGCCTCAAACATCCCATAATAAAGTCAGGATAGCTGCTTGGGGTGACCTCTGGAGAGCAGGAGGGAAACTGAGGCACGGGCCGGGGAGGCAGAATGGGGCTCTACATGTGTACCCACAATCCTTGTGCCTCCCTTACAGCACAAGGGGAGAATCCAGACGCAGCCCACCCTGAGGACACCCATGCCCACCCCAGACCTTTCAGGGCTCGCCCCCCCCTCGCTCAGCCCCTGCAGGACCCCATAAGCCGTGTGTGCACACAGCGCTCCAACACCTCCATCTCCGATTCCTGTTCACTCTGAAACCTAATGACAGCCTTTACTCCGGTCACCGCTGTGACCCCAACACCCGGTGCTCTGGGGGGGAGGTGGGGGGGGGCTCAGCTGCTCGGTGCCCCCCCGGGGCTGTGGCCGAACGTTATCCATTCGGGCTGGGCGCACAGATAACATCATTGGGGCAGAGGCGGAGGTGAGGGTGTGACTGAAACTCCTGCTGGGTCACATGGGGAAGCCACGGCAGGAACCGGGTGTCAGAGGAGGCAGCGAGCGGCGAGGTATGGCGGGGTTGGGGGCACAAGGAGGGGGGGGAGGATGGGAGAGGTGGAACCCCAAGGGGACGCTCCATCCCTGGGAGCAGCTGTGGGGATGTGGGGTGCTGGGGTGAGCAGCACTGTGCTGATGGGGTGCTGGGGTGCCGCTACATGGGACAGTTTGCACCCCAAAGACCCCGAAAGTTAGCAGCACCCCATGGGCCCCAAAAGCACTGGCATCACCCCCAGGGTGGGGGTGCATCCCTGAAGGTGGGGGCGCCCTCCCTGGGTCACCCTTTGGGTGCTGACCCCTAAATTGATGGGCGCCTGCAGCCCGTGGTGTCACCACGATGAGGATCGTCCAAGCCCCACGAGCAACCCCTTAGTGCTGCGTTCACCCTCGGGTCTCCCACCCTCGGGCGGGGGTCTCCCACCCTCGGGGCTCCCCCCCAGCCCGGTGTGGGGCCATGCACAGGGTGCAGATGGCGGGAGGAAACGAGGCAGAGACGCGCGGGGGGGGGGGGGGAAGCGCGGCAGCCGCAGCCGCGGAAGCATCGTCGGCACCGCCTGCGCCCGGGGATGGGGTGGCAGTGGGGCCACCCACAGGTGTCACCCTACAGCGCTGTCACCGCGCCCCGCTGGCTCTGTGTCTCAATCTGATACTCATCCCAGGATTGGGATGGTGCAAAGGGATGGGGGTCGGCGTGTCCCACGGATATGGGGTCGGGGGGTGCCACCCTGTGGCCACCCCGCGGCCGCCCAGCGCCCATCCTCGGATATCTTCATCCTGGCACCCCTCTCGGTTTGGGCAGCCCACCCTGGCAGTCCCACCTGGGGGTTGTTCTCCGCTCCCCATTCACCCCCCCCTCCACCCTGGCACCCCCTTTATGGGTCCCCTCGTTCTGGGAGGGGGTTGTGGGCAGGCAGGGGCACCCAAATAGGGGCGTGCAATGGGGCATAGATGTAGGGGTGTCCCAATAAGGGTGTCTGGGTGTGTGTGGAGGGGTCTTCAAGGAGGTGCTGATGGTGTGTGCCAGGAGAGGGGCAATCAAACAAAGGAATCTGAGTGGGGGTTCCTGGATGAGGTGTCCTGGATTTGGGCACTCGATTAGGAGCGTGCAATTGGGGTGTCAATATAGGGGTGCCCCAATAAAGGCACCTGGATGGGGGGTGTTGTGATGTGGGTGCACCGTGAGGAGTGCTTGGATGGAGGCACAGAAATAGGGGGTGCTGGGGGGGGGGGGGAACTCCTATGGGGGTGCCCACAAAGGGGTGACCCAGTTTGGGATTTTTGGATAGGGGCACACAAATTGAGGTGCCTGGGGGGTGGGTGTGCAGATAAGGGCACCCAAACAGGGGAGCTGAGATGGGGGTACCCCTACAGGGATGCCCACGCAGGGGTAACCCAGTAGGGGTGTGCAAATGGGGCAGTGATATTGGGTGCCCCAATGAGGGTATCTGGATGGGGGTGTTCAGATAGAGCCCCCCAGATAAGGGAAACCCGTACAAGGGTGCCTGAATGGAGTGTCCTGGGTGAGGGTACTGAAATGTGGGCACCCCCGGAAGGGATGCTTGGATGGGGGCACCCAAATTGGGGTGCTGGAAACCACACAGGGATGATCATACACGATTGAACCCAATAGGGGTTCCTGGGTGCCTGGGTGGGGGTGCCTGGATACGGGTACCCAAAAAGAGGTGTGCAAATGGGGTAGCAATACCAGAGTGCCCCAAAATGGAGGTGTTGAGATAGAGAGTCCCCAGGTTAGGGCACCTGTTATGGGGATGCCTGGATGGGGGCACCCAAATAGGAGTGCTGGAATTGGGGTGCCCCAGTGGGAATGCTTAGACAGCGGGACCAAAATAGGGGTGCTGGAAGGTAGATGCCCAAATTGGGATGCCTGGATAGGAGTGCCTGGATAGGGGTACTTGGGTGAGGGCACCTAAATTGAGGTGCTGGGATGGGGGTGCCTGGATAGGGTACCCAAATTGAGGTGCTGGGATGGGGGTGTCTGGATAGGGTTCCGAAATTGTGGTGCTAGAACTTGGATGCCCAAATTGGAGTGCCTGGATAGGAGTGCCTGGATAGGGGTGCTTGGGTGAGGGCACCCAAATTGAGGTGCTGGGATGAGGGTGTCTGGATAAGGCACCCAAATTGAGGTGCTGGGATGAGGGTGTGTGGATAGGGTACCCAAATTGAGGTGCTGGGATGAGGGTGTGTGGATAGGGCACCCAAATTGAGGTGCTGGGATGGGGGTGTGTGGATAGGGCACCCAAATTGAGGTGCTGGGATGAGGGTGTGTGGATAGGGTTCCGAAATTGTGGTGCTAGAACTTGGATGCCCAAATTGGAGTGCCTGGATAGGGGTGCTTGGGTGAGGGCACCCAAATTGGGGTGCTGGGATGGGGGTGTCTGGATAAGGCACCCAAAATGAGGTGCTGGGATGAGGGTGTGTGGATAGGGTACCCAAATTGTGGTGCTAGAACTTGGATGCCCAAATTGGGGTGCCTGGGTAGGGGTCCCCCAATAGGGACGACTTGGATGAGGGCATTCAAACTGGGGTGCTGCGATGGGGGGCACCCAAATTGGAGTGTTGGGATAGGAGTGCCCAAATTGGGGTGCCTGGGTACGGGTGCCCCAGTAGGGGTGCTTGGATGAGGACACCTAAGTTGGGGTGCTGGGGCGGCTCACTCCATCCCACAGATGGAAGTGGAGAAGCCCCCCCAAAACGCTGAGCCACCAACGCTGCTGAAGACGTACCGATGGCGAACGGCAGCAGCCGTGGGCGAGCGGGACCCCGAGCGGTGCAGTGCGACCCCGGGTGGTCGGCACTGGAGCCGGCTGCAGGGCTGGAAGCGTTCCTACAGCCAACCCGAGTCTGAGAGCCTCGACGACGGCGTTGGGAAGGGCAGCTCCAACCTGGGGGCACCCAAAGCCAGTGCCCGTCGGTCCCTCTTCCAAAGGGCGTTCTCGGCGCCCTCCAAGGTGGTCAAGGAGCCACGCAGCTCCGAGGGTGGCAAAGGCACCCTGCAGAAGTACCTGCGCTCTGTGTCCAAGAAGAAGGGATATGTGGAGAACGGGGCCAGGGCTGAGAAGGGGTCCCACGAGGGCATCCCAGGTATGGGGGTGTTTGGGGTGGTGGGGATGGGGGTGCGATGGGAGTGGGATTGGAATGAGACGGGGATGGAATGAGGATGAGGTGGGAGCGGGATGGAGATGAGGAGGGGGGTGGGATGGGGATGTTGTTGGGGGTGGGGATGGGGATGAGATTGGGGAGGATGGGGGTGGGATGGAGATGGAGATAGAATGGGATTTGTGTGGGGAGGAGCTGGGATTGAGGAGGGGATGGAAGGGGTACGAGATGGAAGTGGGATGGAGATGGAGATGGGGGTGAGGTGGGGATGGGAATGGGGATGGAGTTGGGGGTGAGGATGGGGATGGAGTCAGGGGTGAGGATGGGGATGTTGTTGGGGACAGAGAGGGGATGAGATGGGAGAGGAATGGAGATGGAATGGGAATGGGATGGGGGTGGAATGGAGATGAGGATGGGAGTGGGATGGAAATGGGGGTGGTGGTCGTGGGCTGAGGTGGAGATGGGTGATGGTTTGGGGTGCAGAGCCTTGTGGGTGCTGGTTGGGTGTGATGGGTGGTGATGCTGGATGAAGGATTGTGATGAGCGATGGGGAAAGATGGTGGAGAAGGGGCTGGAGGGACAGTGGGCGGTGGGCAGCGGAGACGGATGATGGGTTGGAGGAAGAAGAGCTGGGTTTGATGGGTTGGCAGGCAGTGGGGATGGGTGACAGTCTGGAAAGCACAGGGTAACGGGATGCGCTCCTCAGCATCACCGCAGCAATGGCGGTGCGGCCACAGCCACATCCCCTGCCATCCTCATGGTAGCACCTCCACGGCCACTTGTCCTCCAGCATCGCCACACCAGCGGTGACACGACAGCCATGTGGCCTTTGGCATCACAGCCCCCATGATGGTGGCACGGCAGTGTCCCCGTGTCCCCCGGCTCCGCCACCCCAACCATACGACACTGTCACACCTACTGCAGCACAGTCACAGCTGCACTAAATGCCAACCATGGGACACGGGGACACAACGAGGGCCCTTGGGTGCTCCTGACCCCTCTGCTCCACCCCCCTCCCCCCCCCCAGCCCCAGAGAGCACCCACGGCGCCCCCTCCACCCCAATGCCTCCAGCACCAGATGTCACAGTGTGGGACGTCTCCAACTTCTCACTGGTAGACAGACAGCTGATCCACGTGGGTCGGGACGAGGAGGTGAGGACCTCTGGTGTTATGGGGTGCACGGGGCGCTGGGCATTTGGTCCCTGACCCCCTCTCTGCATCCTCAGACTTCAAGCAGGAACAGGAACCGGACCGGCAGCTCTGAGAGCAGCAGCCCTCACCCACTGGGTGGCAGGAGGGACACCGGTGAGCCGACGACGCGGGGCGTTTGCACGCACTGGTGCAAGCTCCAATGCAGCTCCCGGGGCTGCCAGGAGCCACACCACGCCGTG